ATCACAATCAGGAATATTATCGCTTTCACTTTACTTCGAAAAAAAATCAAACTTCTATTATAACTTAGCAATCTAATTCTATTAGCAAGACAACACACTCCTTACACTATCATATCAGAAATTCTCACTCTATGTTGGCATGTACACATTTTTAAAACTCATTTGACTCCAGTTTAAGCCTAGAATCGGCTAAATCTTGGCTCAGATACCATTAAATGTAACACCCCCAACCTGTACCCGACCAGAATACGAGTCTGAGCTATCACATTGACTTTTCAAACCTTGACTCTTGACAAAATTCAAAGAAATTTAAAGCTTTCATTACAATAAAAGCGGTTTATTTGCATAAATCGACCAAAATAATCAAAATCGATCAGAGCATATTCAACTCAAATCAATTAGTACATGCCAACTATATTCAAAATAACCAAACACATTTAAATCATCTATTTTCTGATATGAATTTTGTAAGGGAGATGCTGACCTGTCTTTCTCTTCTTAGCTTCTTTTCTCACTTCTGTAACCTACGTGTGAAACAATCACACATAGGCACTATTGATGCTATCACTCATACCTTTATTCATGCATGAACTATTACTGCTATCACTCATACCTTTATTCATGTAACAAATCCCTATAACACATAAACACTATATCATTACATGTAAGAACATATACACACATATACTCATCATTTCCATCATTAGACTTATTTCATTATCAATATTATTATTATTATTATTATTATCATTTATAACACTTAATACATATCCTCTTATCTCTAGCATTTTAACCAACATTTGACTCATTTAATCATACCATCCACATGTCATCATATAATACAATCCATAGCACAAAAACATGCAAGTCACATGTAATATGTTTGTTGTTATTTCTTTATTAGCCCATGTACACATGTGAGAAATATAGATATGTGAGTCTATAGAGATTGTACACAAATGTTGTCACCACAGCTCGTATAAATACACCTAAGTGCCACGTAGAATTAAACCGAAGTGCCACGTAGAATTGCACCGAAGTGCCATATAAAATGTCCCTAAGGACCACGTAGAAAATTCCTTAAGAATCATATACATATACAAAGGATCAAGTATGTGTCTCAAAAGACATCACACATGTTCCAAGGAATACATATATGCCCCGAAGGACCGCGTAGACCCTCGACTCTTGGTATGCCAACTATACCCCTAGCTCTCATGACACATAACATGGGCATTATTATCTATGTCATTTCATATTCACATTCATAACACTCATCTCTTATCGCATGTCTGATCTCTTATAATCATGTAATCACATAGCTCATGTCATTTCTTGTGAAATCATACATATCATGTAAGACATATCAGACATGTACACACAAATCACTTCCATATAATTCACATGATTTATTATCTCGTAGATCATATCACATTTTCATACAATTTCACAAATCATTGTCATATATGATATCACATTTGTACTTAATCACATAGATAATGTTATATAACACTAAAATCCCACAGTTCCTATTTCGAAGCTTATGTATATTGTTCTTATATCTTTTTATAGACATGTAAACACCTAGATCATAATTCCATAATTTATTGTATAATCATATCATCATTTATATTCATAATCCCTAGCTCATATTTTTTTCTCTTATGCTTACATAGATTCTATAACATATATTGTAGCATACTAACATATATCACTTATATAAATTCATTTATATACAAATTTCTTATATTCTCTTAATTCAAGTTTACGTTACTCTTATAACCTTTTCCTATGACTTCATAGATCTTTACCATGTAATTTCTATATCATAGCTCATATAAGCACATCAATCTTTCTCGTACAACTTATCTCCCATATGATTATCATTATTTATATACAGATCTCCTAATTGATATTCTATTTTCATATTGTCCTATAAATCAATGCTAGTTAGTTTATCTCACTTTTCATTTAATACTATAAGTAAATTATAATAGTTTCCATAAACTTGACTCATGTAATTTATGTTTTGCTATTATATCTTCATCTAAACATATATTTACATGTTCATGATCACTTAACTTATTTTCTTTCTATGGTTATCACATACAACATTTACTATTATACATGATTCGTGCCCTTATAACTTATTTCACATATTCACACATCTCATAAGGTTCACATATAGTTACATATTTTGTTCTCATATAACCCATATCATATAAATTTACACCTCATAACATATAATATGAACAAAGCAAATATACATAATACAAACTTAATCATGCTTCTATTCATGCAAACATAAAATATTGGAAACAAACTTATCACAAGTCTAATTTCCATATAATAATATACACAACCTAATAATATGCACTCACCTTGGCCTCACTAAGTTCCAATCCACTTTTATGATTTCCTCTCTTTCAATCGAATCTTAACTTGATAATCGTTCTGGAACTTGTTCATGTTCGATATCTACATAATTGTACATTTTCAAGACAATTATTAGATACCTACATCTTGTAATTCGATACTAACAACTTAAACGAACTTAATAAACCAATATTCATTTCTTCCTTTAGGGGGGAATCGGTTTCCTCCTGTGGGGGTATCGGTTCCCCCATGGCATTCTGTAAATTCTGGTTCGTTTGAGGCGGTATCGGTTCCCCTTGAATGGGTACCGATTCCCCTAGCCCAGAAATCACATTTTGAGCTCGAAAATCACTTCATTTTTAGCTCAACACTTCATACTTCACTCCCTTTAATATTCCTAACTTTCATACACATACTTAAACCAATAAATTTTCATTCAATATCTCTTTAACTTAAAAATTCATTCCTCCACATAGCATTCAAGAATCATACCAATTTTTCCATGTTATCCAAAATTAATTCTAACACTTATAACTTTTTACTCTTCCATATGACAAGTCAAATTCAACTTTTAAATCCCTTTATATCCTTATTCACAAATTCACTTATCCACTTCTTAACTTAAATCAACCATAACTTATTACTCTTTAAGTTTCCATGCTTCTTTTTGATTTCATACTCTTTCCCAATGCTTCATTAACCAAAACCATGCTTGACTCTTAAGAATTAACCAAAAGAAAACCAACTCACATTTTCTTAAGAGCTCCACGGTGGAGAAGAAGAAAATGAAGAAGAGAAGAAAAATCTGGATGTTTTCTCACATTTCCCACACGTTTATATCACTCAAAAATGGAAGATAAAAAATCTTTTCTACGAAAAGACCATTTTACCCCTTTAGTTAATCCATCTTTACTATTTAATCCAAAATCCTTTACTTAAGTCCCTGAACTTTTAGCTTATTTCAGAATTAAGCACAAAGTTTCCAAAATTTACATTTTAGTCACTGACCCGACTTTTGGGATGCTACATGAACTGAGTGCTTATCTTGACTCCGAGCAGCGAATTGTTGCATCTAGAGTCATAAAGAGGTTTATCCTTCATGCAAAGAAAACTGCATGTGGTTGAGCATGATTTTATAATGGCGACTTACCTCACATAACGTGTTATAGTGTGTGAGGGGAAGCCCTCAGTGGATTGTATTGCAAATTCGCCTCAGTCGTTGACTGGCATGAATCTCTTCTTATCTGTGAGTCTCGCTGCTGTTCTCTCTTTGGTTCCTTTTCAAGATTGACTACCCTATTCTATTGGAATTTACAAGTTGCATTTGTGGTTTTTGGTGCTCACTCTTGCACTTGATTGCACTCTACAGCATTTGGACATTATTTTTGACGGGACCCAACGAATTACCAACCGAGAATCAACAAACTAGATTCAACCAAGGACCGGGAACAAAAGACCGCTGGATCATATTATCATCTAGATGATTGATACATTTGCATGTTGTAAAATTGTTATTGAACTTTTTCTTTGCGCTGGTTGATCAAGTTTTGTGTCCATCGCGGCTGCTAAATTCGGATAAGATGAGACGAGATGAAGCAAATCGATGTTGGTAATGTGGGATCTCACATGGATGTATAAGTGGAAAAGAAGTCCCTTTTGTTTTGTGAGGAGCTCGTGTCATATCAGATCCATCTTGTTGATAAATGAGCTGAGCTGGTGTTTTAGAAAAAGTTATCCTTGTAGTATTAGTATAGTTTGATTTTCTATTCTCCATTTTTGGTTAATATTTTATTTGGTGAGTCAGTTGGAATAAGAATACAACTTTTGTTTTCTTGCTACATCTCCATTTTACATCAATTTAGCTATTTAGGAATGTCGAGTTCAGATATTTAGCTACTCCATTTAATGATTGGGTAAAATACATTCAAGGTCCTTTGATTACGTGTTTAGTAATAAATGAGTTTTTTTTTTTAAGTTATAAACAAGTCATTCAACCAAAGTATTACTATAAATACACCATTTCATCATTTAACCTAAACCAAAGGCCTAATTTTGTTATTTTTAGAACTTAAAAGAACTTGAAAAATTGGAAGGAAATTATATTTTGCTTTCATTGTAGAGTTGAGAAAATAGTGTAAGGAAAATCAAAATTAATAAAGGGGAGCCGTGACTGTAAAATCTGGGAGCTGTGTTGGTATGATTTCGGGTGTGCTAGGGTTTAAAGATTAAATTTGCAAAGTCGTCCCTTTATGTTAGTTAATACAGTAAAATATATCTTCACTTCAAAATTTATCATATGGGTAGGGATTATTGTCATGGCGATTTAATGATACTAAAAAGAATGTTATGTCGATGGCGATGGTATGTGCAGGTGTTTTAGCAGTGCTGTGTGGGTGCAGATTATTGTGTTATTTTCAGTTTCTTAGTTTTGCCTGCATTGTTTCATTCTAATAAATATTCTTTGTCCATGTCAAGCTCAATACTAACCCAACAAAATAGTGCTTGGAACAATTGGAGATATCTTAAAAGGAAAATGATTATTAATAATAATAAATAACATGTCTATGTTCTTCATAGAACTTAAAACAAACCATAATTTATTCATTCACTTGACACGTAAATCACTACCAAAACTTTTTGCCAAATAGGGCATTCTTCTTTCCCTTCTTCCCCCTTCCGTGCTTCCCATGCTTAACTTTTCCACCATGACCATGATGTCCATATGCAACATGCCCTAACACCCATAGTTACAAATATATTTAGTAATTTATATAGACTTTATTAAATTAACAAAAACAATTACATTTCTCTTACCTGAATGAGAAGCCCCCGGATAACCATGTGGAGGGTGTGCACCCTGAGGATAGCCACCTAGTGGATAACCTTGAGGTGGATAACCTTGAGGTGGATAACTTTGAGGCGGATACCCTTGAGGGGGATATCCTCCATATGAAGGATGTCCGGTATTAGGAGGATACCCTCCGGGATGAGGATATGTTCCAGGAGGTGGATATCCTCCAGGGGGTGGAGCATATGCACCGGGTGGATATCCTCCCGGAGGATAATGTCCTCCATGACCATGCTTATGTTTACCTTTACCCTTCTTTCCCATGTTTTACTCAACTGATCAAGATTAAACTTTGCGAATACAATATGAGATTGTGTTGTATGATCGGAACAAAATCGTTTAATAAAATTTAGATTTTATAGCTATAATTGATTAACTACATGTTCAAATTTTAAGCAGATTTTTACGTTGTTTCTTGAATATGTAATTGATGTTGTGAAGAAAAACACGGAAAACATCAGATATTTTTAATGTAAAAATATCATATAACATTATTTCTAAAATTTACTATAATCATATTTATTTAAATATTATATTCTCTTCTTTCTAATGCTCAATTCATTAAAAAAAATTGGACTAAACCTACGCACAGTAAAATTTCCAAAGTTGCCTATTTGCCTGTTAGTGCACAGCTAGTGCGTGTGCTTCCCCAATACTGTGACTCTCAATCACAAAGATGGTGACAATATGTTAACCTTGAGATAAATATGATTAACAACCAGTTGATTTAATGAGATGAAATATTACATTTTTTAAGTAAGATTAGAAGTTTAAATCCTATGTTTACGGATAAAACAAATTGGGTTAAAAGAGTTAACCAACAGTGAGCCTATGCAAAATCCAATCCAAAATAATTGATCGAATACCGATTGTTAAAAAAAATGTTGAGATCAATATTTACATTTTTCGGCAGATTTGGTTTTGAAAGGATGTTGCGCTGAGAGGATTTTATGGCAAACTAAAGGAACTGAACCATTAAGGTAAAGGGGAAAAGCATTTTATTTATAGCATACGCATGCATGATCCAAGGACGATCAAAGCTCGATGAATGTCTGACCGTAATAACATGTTAACTGGATCTCGGTAATATTATCCATAATATCATACCTTAAGGTGACTAATAACTAATTCTACATAGGTTAGAAGAAGAAAATACAACCAGCCCAAAATCAGTATGATCTCTGATCAGAGCTGAAGCCTAACATAAACCTACATGACTACAACTTTCATGTTATCATCGTTAGCTTACAATTGAAATCGGCACTATTTTCTAGTCTGTATAAGTAGAAAGAAGACCAACACCCACCATTATCAGGGCACTAGATCACTACTGATATCTCCTGCATGCATATTTGCAAAAAAAAAAATTAGGAAAAGAATTTGGTGCACACAATAGATCATGCAATTTCTAGAAAGCTACTTGATCTGAACGCTACTTCAAACCCTAACCGATTAAGCACAGAACTTCATGTGGGGACTAACTGGCTAACCGTTTCATTGAATCAATTCAAAATATTTAAGATTCTTACCATGCATGCATTTGATGAAGTAATCGAAATCTGGGAGACATATTACTCCTTGAACTAAAGGAGATGACTGTTGATAGACAAAGAATGAAAGTGGCGACGATCAGGATCATTTCTTGGCTTGGCTGTCTCGATTATTCTCAAACACCCTTCTCTGTCATAACATGAAAGTGTATTCTCACCAGCAACGCTCAATCCTAGATCCCAGGAAGAATTGAGAACCTGTGGCAGTAAGTTATAACCTTCAGAACTATATTGCCTACAATTTATGGATTAGTTTAATCAGGTCAAATCTGTTGTGATCTTGTGTGTGTGTGTGTGTGTATTACTGCATAACCTAGCAATCAAGAAATTAATTTCATAACAAGATAAACCCAGCGCAAGTGATCACGCAAGTGGGGTTGATCACTTGTAGTTCAATACACTTTCCGCAAAATGGAAGTACTAGGAAATCATGTTAATTCACTCCAACCCAACACTTCAAACTTTTAGTTTCAACAGTTGGCAATCATGGTATAAGGGTCAGTTTATTCACCACCCATTTTTAATCCACGTCACACGCCTGTTCATCTGAGCGAGTCTGAAGTGATATTATTCCCAGACTTGTTAATCTAAACTTTTTAATGTAGTACTACCAAATGGTTTGAGGCTAGAAAAAAAAATCTGCAGAGAAAAATATTCTTGTAAACCCGCCTGTCCTTAATATTATAGGCTGGACAGCAAGCAACTAAATGGTTTTAAGAGTTCTCTCTTCAATAGATGACAAAAGGAAATATCTATGTAGCTTAAAGTGATTATGGAAGTCATAGGACACCAGAAAGACACACCTGCCAACTCAAACCTTCTGGATCAGCAAATGCTTCATCATATCCGTAACTACATTTCTGCAACCCATAGCACACAAACTTCATTGTCACAGAATGTTTCTTTAAAACCTCAAACACTGGAGAATATCCATCCTGATTGATAGGGTTATAATATCCTGCTGTTAGCTCTGCCGCATGACTGGAAGTCTTGTACCACCAATAAATTGCAGGTATCTGTATGTTAGCATCATAAATTAATCCTTCTTATTTTCTATAATTGTGCAATCTCTAATTAAAGGTCAACTCAGGAGCCACCCACAGACCACAATGACATCCATTTTGTTCAGTTCAAAAACTATGCAGACCATTCATCAAAACTATTATAGACAACCACAGTTTAACATATGAAATTAATCAATTTTCCAGCAATTAAAAATGCACTTTGAATTTACCTAATAGTCTAATTCATTTAGATCCGGAATCAGTTAATGACCAGGATAAAATAAAGCAGAGGATCCAGGTTCAGTGTTAGAAGGAAATTGCAAAGGGAATGAGAAGTGCATGAAAAGTAGTTAAAAATAAATGAGCAACATAATATTTAAGCATTTATCAGAAAGAGTCGATGAATGACAAGTCATGCAGATGAACAATATAAAAAGTTAAAACTTGGCTTCCGACAGGCGTATTTTGTGTACTACTAGCATACCTTAACAATAATCTTGGTCTCCTCAAAAGCAAGATTCGCTAGAGACAATATATTATCTGCATGGTCCATTAAAGACTGGGCATACCAATGGAGGAAAAAGCGCCCATAGTAGCTATCATAATCACCCCGTTCACAAAAGAATCCAGTTTCATGTGGCCTAGAATTATAATGACCAGCATTATCAGGTCCCCTAGCCCAGAAAGAGTGCCCACGCAATTTAGCAGCTTTCCGTAGATGTTGCTGTAAATATTTATCATAACACTGCTGTAAATATTTTATCATAACACTGGACAGATATGATGGCACCAGGAAAATGTGCATGTAAGGATGTGAAATCAAAGAAAAGCAAGTCTTCGGCTAAATATATTAATCACATAGTGAGAGAATGCAAAATTTTGAAATGCAATGCAATAAATGATCATTAAACTCTATTTGAGCATCATATAATGGTTCTAGGTCCAGCAGAGAATGAGCCCAAATTAACAATTTATGAGTTCATTCTGCTTTTAACTTTGGGAAGCATATTTACTTGAAAATTTGGCTTGACTTCTATGTACATTGTACACTATTGTGTTACGAAAGCCAAATTTAACATTTTTTACACTCTTTGAGCTTTTTTCTTTTAAAATATATTCATACAACTTGCATATATATGAATATACAAGTATGCAAGTGTTCTAACTTGAGCTTGATCTTAATGTTAGCTTGATCATGATTGAACCCTAATGCTGGCCTATCATTTGCATAACAGAAAAGACCCATTCAACTGTGAATCAGAATTTACACCAAAACCTGCAATGTTATACGGAGAAAAGAAACAGAAGCATTGAAACATATCGGAGTTAAAGTTAACAAATACCTGAAACTCACCGATGCCAGGATACCTCCATCCCATCCTTTCTGAGAAAGAGGGATACCTCAACTCCCTAGATGGTCCAAGTCCAATCTCCACTGCAGAAATAAGACCCTCAGCGAACAAGTCATCAAACTCTGTCCTGAAGCTTCTCATGAAATCAAAATAGACCTGCAAATAAATGACAATAACACTAAGCAAGACAATCAATACAAGCACGAGTTTCCCAAGTCAGTTTCTTGGTCCTATGCATCAAAAGACTAATGTGATGTACATTACTTTGGTTGAAACACAGGCGAAAAGAGATGAAAATTGCCTTTTCCAACCAATTGATAAAAATGAGGGTGGAGGTAACAATAAAAATATAATGGCATAGACAAAATTATCAGTTTTTTAATACCTCAACACCAGTTCTTCCATTTAAAACACGTTCTTTGTCAATGCCCCAGGATAAATATTCAGTAGTTCTCCTTCCTTCACGATCAGTGAAGAAGATATCCTGGTTTTCTTTTCCTATCTCCAAAATCCAGTTGGGTAGGGGGATCAGTACATCAACAGAATCGGCACTCCCATACTCGTGAAATGCCATTACAACCTTCAAAAGTGAAGAAGAAACTTTAAAGTTGCTTCCTACATAAGACAAAAAACACCTAAGAAGACTCCTGAAATTAAAAGACAACTCTAAAAAATGCAGAATAAAAGTTTAGATATGTCAACATTTTGTGCAATTTCCAATATAAGAAGAAAATGTGTAAAACAAATAGAAATACATGGATAGAAAACCAATGAAACTTTTGAACAGAAAGCATTATGGAACATATAAAAATAAGTTTAGTAAAGAATGAACTCGAAGCTAAAGACACTTAGAAACGGGAACAAGCAGACATCAAGAGAGTCATTCCTTCAGAGTTCCTAATACGTTTCATTATATAGATATTAAGAGGCTGTAATTCATATAGAAACTGTCTAGAAAGTCATTTTCCCACTACTGCATCAACTCTCAAATAATGTTAAACACCTACAGCAGACCATAAAAGAAGGCAAAGGGAAAATGCAACTTTATTTAGTTGAAATCAACCTGTATCTTCATCTTGAACTCTCGAATATTGTTAAAAATTCCCGGTAGCCAGACCACACATACTTCTGTGGGTTCCAGCACTCAACAAGTCCCCACCAACAATCTACAATGACTCCATCTACATTTAAGAAGCTCATATGACTTAGCTCCTGTCTAACATAATCAGGATCAGCTAACTGACAAAAGTTGTTGATGACACCTGTCTGCCAAAGAACAGAGAAGAGTTGAGTTTCCACAGAGAGAACTTGAAAGTCAACATTAAAAATAACAAGCCATGAACCGTGCATCCCAAATT